CCATTTTCTGAACATAGGCTCTTATTGTTTTGGGGTTTCATCTCCACATTCTAAATTACATAGATGTTATTGTACACGACTTTTAATTTCTAAGGAGTTACTTTCATAATGTTTGGTGATAATGTTTTTTATTTATGAAACTAGTTTTTAAGTGTTGAAAACTGCTTCCTTTTGTTGTTTAGTTGATGACATGTTAGTAGATAGTTGGCTTCCATCGGGAGTTAGTGTGAGTGTTTCTCACGATGGATTGGATTGTGATACACTTGGAAGAATTGTATCCCACTGAATATTTTCAAGTAGGACTTTCAACAAGGCAGTCAATATGCACATTACATATTTCACTATTGTAGAATTCAATAGTTACAACTACTTATTCAACACTATATTTAATTTTACCCTTCTAAAACGAATATCTTTTTCTTCACTAGAATTTTTTCAACTAGATTTTTCTAGTAAGATTTAATTGAATTAGCCACATTATCTATCAAATAGACATCTAAGGGTGAGTGCTCTTAATATATTTTATGTATTATAGTGAATGCTAAAGATAGTTTCTTTGGAACTACATCCGCTTTTCTCTATAAATACAAGGATTTTCATTCATTGCATTTCATCTCTCAAGAGAAATAATACGTTTTCTCACTTTCTCTCTACCTCACTCTACAAAGTTTTTCTTCTTGATTTTTTATTTATAACAAATATCAAACAAAAATGACTTTTTGAAAATATTAAGACAAGATTTCACATTATGGATCAACTTGGGCTAGATATCAACCAAAATTTTGATGGTTTGAAATGAATTGGACTGAGATAATAAATACGTAAGTCAATAAACAATCTATGTTTGAACGAGTTGTATATGATTTCATGGACTATTTTTGTCACCTTGTTTGACAATTGAGCAAATCCAATTTAAGTATTACTACAATTAGAACTTGTCATTATTTCCAATAACATTAATGTGAAAAAAAATCCTAAATGCCTAAAGATGTAATTTCACTAACTTAGACATTAATTGTGTAATAAAACATAGTTTGACTAAATAAATGAAACATTTTCTCATGAAGGATATATAATCATCCTTTCATCTTGTGAGTATCATGAAATTACATTCTTTAAAAAAAATTCTTTAACATGAATTTTTATATGATCACTAGTTTAGTCTTTTCATTTTTATTTATCTTGTCCTTGAGTGGAGTTGTTGCTACTAATTCTACTAAGTCGCCTCTAGCTCACTATGAAATATGGATTGTTAGTGACCTCCCTATTGGAACAAATCCTTTATTTTTTCGTTGTTGGTCTAGACATAGTGATTTGGGATCTCATTTCCTAAATCCTGATCCTGAGGGCTTTCATTGGCGTTTTCGTCAAGATTTTGGGGAATCAATTAGGTATCAATGTGAATTTGTTTGGGTTACCAAGACCTTGACGTTTTTTGTTTTTGATCAAGACTTATCAGACAAATGTGAAGGGCGTGGTAATATATGTTATTGGTTGGTTAGGGAAAATGGCTTTTATTTTGCAAATTATGTCAACCCTTTCCCAAGTGACTTAAAGCAACTGTATTCATGGTGATATGATCAATGGTAATCATATGATAATGAAAACAAAATACTATTGACTTGTTGGGTGTTATTAATTGTTGTTTTCTCTTGATATATGATGAGTATTAACAAACACTAATAATTTCAACTCAAAAGACTTAAGTGCGATTATATGTTTTTAAATCTAGAATTCTAAAATGTGTCACATAGACGGAGAGTATTAGTCTTATCATGGTAAGAAGTCTAAAAACATTTGTATCACTTTCTTAATTGTTTGCAACATCGTCATATATGCAACCTTCTTGAATACACCTTCTAAACTATTAAAAACTATTGTGTTAAAAACTATTAATTATACATAAAAAAAAAAAGGTGATACTTCAACAAATAGTAAAATTCCACTCGAGTCCTATGTCCAATGACCATATTGCACATGAAATGATTGTTAATTGTGCTAGCTAATATTTCTTTGTTGTTGGCAGGATAAGATACAAACATATCTGGTGTATCTGTCCTTTGTTTTTTTATCATGTTATCGGTACACAAGTTCTCTAACAAGAGTGGTTAAGGTTGTTTCTCTTTGTATTTATTTTCCCAACAAGAGTGGTTGGGTTTATTTGCTTTGATTTATAACCATAAATAAGTTTTCCTTTTAGGAAAAGGTTTTGGTATTTTACTAGTCCTTTTCTTGCAGGAAAGGTTTTAGGACTCTATAAATATAGACTTGTTCCTTCTAACTTAATCAACATTCACAATGTAGTCCTAGGATTTTGAGAGTTGCAGTTATTGGGGAGAATTTTGTGTACCTCCTTGTATTCCGAGTGAATTGGTTGAGGTTGTTTCTCTCTGTATTTTGTACTCTCATATTTATAGTGGATTACTCATCTCTTTTGTAGACGTAGATCGATTGACCGAACCACGTTAAATCTTTGTGTCTTTTGGTATGTTTCTTGTTTGTCTTCTTACTTGTGAAGTCGTGGTCTTTCGAGGTTTGCTTTGCTAGCTTCCGCGTTACACCTGCTTATTTTCGGTCCTAACAAGTGGTATAAGAGCCAGATTCAATGATGTAGCCAGGTTAGAGATGGGTGTTCATCTTGGTGGGTGTAGTTTTAGCCGCAACATTTATGTTAGTAATGAAGATTTGTGTTGGAGAAATTGTTTCATAGAGGTTCTCTGTGTCGAGACGTAGATTTGATGTGGGAGATTATGGAGAGGAGAAGCAAACTGTTGAAGATTATGTAAAGAAGGTGGACGAATTTATTTTGTCAAAAATTCAGGTCAAGGGGGAGATTTGTTGAGTTTAATTTGCGCTGACTTTCTTACCATAAATAGGTTTTCCTTTTAGGAAAAGGTTTTGCAATGACTAGTCCTTTTCTAGTAGGAAAAGGTTTTAGGACTCTATAAATATAGGTTTCTTCCTTCTAACTTAATTAGCATTCACAATGTAGTCCTAGGGTTTTGAGAGTTGCGGTTATGGGGGAGAATTTTGTGTACCTCCTTGTATTCTGAGTGAATTGGTTGAAGTTGTTTTTCTCTATATTTTGTGTTCTCATATTTATAGTGGATTGTTCATCTCTTTTGTGGATGTAAGTCGATTTACCGAACCACGTTAAATCTTTGTGTCTTTTCTTTTGGTGTGTTTCTCGTTTGTCTTCTTACTCGTGGTCTTTCAAGATTTGTTTTGCTAGCTTCCGCATTACAACTACTTATTTCGATCCTAACACAACTTGGGTTAGATATCAACCAAAATTTTGATGGTTTGAAATGAATTGGGCTGAGATAATAAATAAGTAAGTCAATAAACAATCCATGTTTGAACGAGTTGTATATGATTTCATGGACTATTTTTGTCACCTCGTTAGACAATTGATCAAATCCATTTTTAAGTATTTGTATAATTAGAACTTGTCATTATTTCCAATCACATAAATGCGAAAAAATCTTTAATGCTTAAAAATGTTATTTCGCTAACTTGGACATTAATTGTGTAATAAAACATAGTTTGACTAAAATAATGAAACTTTTTCTCAAGAATATACAATTTATCCTTTCATCTTGTGAGTATCATGAAATTACATTCTTTAAAAAAAATTCTTTAACATGAATTTTTATATGATCACTAGTTTAAGCTTTTCATTTTTATTTATCTTGTCCTTGAGTGGAGTTGTTGCTAATAATTCTACTAAGTCAGCTCTAGCTCACTATGAAATATGGATTGTTAGTGACCTCACTATTGGAACAAATCCTTTATTTTTTCGTTGTTGGTCTAGACATAGTGATTTGGGATCTCATTTCCTAAATCCTGATCCTGAGGGCTTTCATTGGCGTTTTCGTCAAGATCTTTGGAAATCAACTAGGTATCAATGTGAATTTGTTTGGATTACCAAGACGTTGACGTTTTATGTTTTTGATCAAGGCTTATCAGACAAATGTGAAGGTCGTGGTAATATATGTTATTGGTTGGTTAGGGAAAATGGCTTTTATTTTGCAAATTATGTCAACCCTTTTCCAAGTGACTTAAAGCAACTGTATTCATGGTGATATGATCAATGGTAATCATATGATAATGAAAACAAAATACTATTGACTTGTTGGGTGTTATTAATTGTTGTTTTCTCTTGATATATGATGAGTATTTATAAACACTAATAATTTCAACTCAAAAGACTTAAGTGCGATTATATGTGTTTAATTTAATAATGTTGTGATCTTATATATAGTGATTCAACTTTATTTTAAAGTTTTAAAGTCATTAAATTAATTTTTGTAATAAAAAAATCTTTTGGATTTGTTCTAAGCATTAAAAGTTACTTTCTTTTTCTTCGTTTGGTTTGCTTGATTTGGAGTATAAGAGTCAAACTAATAATTGTCCACATGTTCATGTGAACTCAAACATAAAGTTTTTATTTTTTTAATAATAAATTTATATATTTAGAAATTACATAAACAAAATTTTATAAATCACAATAGTTAACAAATCAAAATATGTGAAACATTCTTGAACGAATTATTATTAAAGTAAATATTCTTTGATTGATCAAATAGTAACTAAGAAATAAAATACTTCTCTCAGCTTTAACCAACGAATTTGTATCAATTGTGTATGAAAAATAAATTCACTGATAAATTTTTTGTAAAAATCATGGACGAAAGCATGAAAATCAAAGAAAAAATGTGTGTGAAAAATATCAGGAGAAAATGTGAGAGGAATATACAACAAGGAAACATTATTTTAAGGGAATTGGTATCCTTAAATTATGGGATTAAATTGACAAACTTTTACCATGTTTGTAAATAAAATAAAATTACCCTCTTTGTTATATTTTGATAAAATTCTACTACTATGTTCTGAAAAGTGAAAACTCCTGTTAGAACTTACAATACGTAATCTTATATGGTACTATATTTATGTTTTTATCCACAAAAACTAATAGGATATCAAACCCAACAACAACATTCACAAAGTAATCTTACTAGTTGGCCTCATGTATATAGATATAGAGACCAAAACAAGCTCAACTGTCAAAAGATGAAGATTCAGATATATTGGAATATCAGGAATGCCATCAGTCATACTTTCCCAACAGTAAATATGGAAGAAAACTGGATCAACATTTGTGACATATTAGCTAAACTTATCGACAACAATCAGATAATGTATCGATTTAACTTATAACTAGCTCAGCTTTAGGAGAAGCTCTGGGTAAACCACTCAATTCTTTACTGGATTTAGTTCCTATCGGTTGTTCAATGAAAATCCTTAGCAAAGATGGTGCCTGAAAAATGAATAGCATAGCAAAAACCTCTACACAGTTTGGACTTGCAAAACCATAGAAACTCACATACTCTAGCTTGTTGAGTGGTAGTTGCAAGCAGCCAGGCGTCTTCAGACATTTCACAAATGCTTCAACATTATCATCGGTACCTTTGACCTAATGGTATAAGCAAACACCAATAGCTTCAACTTCAAATATACGAAGAGCAAAAAAAAGAACCACCAGATATATTTAACATTTCTTACCCTAATCTCAAGTTCATTCAAATTGGGCGAACACTTAATTAATTGTAGAACGCAAGAAATATGACCCAATTTGCCAAAGTCAACAGAGAGGGACAGCTTCCGTAAACAGTTGAGCATAAAAGGAGGACCAGTTGATAGAACTACGTCTGCACACAAAAGCTTTGGAGGAAATACAATGACTACACTCTCACTTGAATGAAATCACTATAGGAGATATTCAAGTGAAAAAACAAGTTAATGTGTTACCTCAATGAAAAGTGAATCCAACAGGAGTACCTCAAGTGCAGGCAAGCTACCAAGAAGTTTCACCAACGTTGATCTATGATCATGTTTTGGATTAGCAAACACTTTGGAAAACACAAGTCCTAAATCTCTCAAATTCTTGCAGTTCATGAAGCAATTTAGCGCGATATAGGAGTGAGGGTAACAAACATACAAGGACTTCAACACTGGTGAAGCAATGTTTAGGTATTGCATACCATCACAACAGTTCAAGGTCAAATTAGCAAGACGAGGGGCCTTGATAACACAACGCTCTGAAAAGGTTACTGATGCCAACCGAAGGGTTACAAGATTGGGAAAGCCACGAAAAGAACCAGGTGGTTTAAAGGAACATCTAGCAAGTTTCAACTGTGTCAGGGTTGAACAGTGAAATACACAAGGAGGCAGTGTATAGGTACGATCATCAATATTAAAAATTCTAAGGTGTAGCTTCTTGACACTGTTTCTGGTGACATAAAGAACCCATCTATCAATAGCTGTATATGAAGCTAAATCTTCTACTCTAACGTCAATATCAAACTTCACAATCTTGCCCATATGCAGTAACATAATCCCATCTACTACTTCTCTGAATTTGGATTCAGACTCGTCTATTAACTCATCACAAAACTCGTAATCCAGCACCATTTTTGGAAGCTCGCTCCAAACGTATCTCCAGCTTTTGGACAATGTACAGGTTTTTGCAGCTTCTTTAACAGACAAGAGCTCAAGAATACAATCAATAACATTTCTTGGTAGGACACTAATTCTATCTTCTATGTCCCCCTCAACCGCAAGGCTTACTCTATCTGTGAAGAAGAATTTAAATGATCTTATTAAGGGTTAAATTTTTCCTTTATCTGTTAGAGAAAAGTTGATAAATCTCAATAAGGCATCAAGTTTGTAATCCAGGAAGAATCAGACAAAATAAGGGGAAGTGGAAGTACCTTGATTCATGTTTGATTTTCTTTTTCTGATTTGATTTTTTTCCCCACCTTACTAGCAATAATGTAGAATTTGTGCAAAGAGGCGTCTTGATCTGTCAGTGACAAGAAAAGAGGAGAATATTATGATAGTAGATGTCTTTTTATTTTGTTCAATTAAGCTCCCAAAACAGTTAAAGAAATACAATGGTATCCCAAAAAGAGTCAAAAAATTGTCTCTAATTATGAAGCCAAAACATAAGGGGCCATGATAGAAAATGTTAAAACTTTTGCAATCGAAGCCAAATTGCACAAAAATATTACAAAAAAAAATGAGTAAAGAAACAAAAAAAAGAATGAAAATGGACCCTAAATGGAAAGTTTCTTCAATATATTACTGAACCCCCAGAACCTGTACAACAACATTTTTGTTCTCGAAAAGCATATGATATGGTATCTTGGGAGTTTATTGAGGAAGCACTTCATGGATATGGTTTTCCAGAAACCTTCACTAGACTAGTGATGAACTGTGTGACTTCAACAAAATTTTCCATCAAGGTAAATGGCGAAAATTATGGATATTTTAAAGGGAAGAGAGGATTGAGGCAGGGGGATCCAATGTCATCATTGCTATTTATGTTGGTCATGGAGTATCTATCTAGAGCACTACAGAAGGTAGGAGAACTACCAGACTTTAAGTTTCACCCAATGTGTCATAGCACCAAGCTAAACCATCTGATTTTTGCGGATGACTTGATGCTATTTTGCAAAGGGGATCTTAAGTCTATAAGAAGGAAGATAGAGGTGTTGAACCATTTCAGTAGGGTGACAGGCCTTGTGGCAAATCTGGACAAGTCTAATATATTTGTAGCTGGGGTGGATGATGCTATGAAGGAACAAATATTGCAGCTGACAGGATTTACACTAGGTGATCTTCCTATCAGATATTTGGGCTTGCCATTATCATCAAAGAAATGGACAAAGATAGATTGCCATCAACTGATCGACAAGATAACCAACAGGATTACTAGTGCATATTCAAAAACATTGTCATATGCAGGCAGATTGCAGATCATAAATGCTGTACTCTTCTCGCTCTATAACTTTTGGAGCAATGTTTTCATCTTGCCTCAAAGTATTTTGAAAGAGGTTGATAGAAAATGTAGGGATTATCTATGAGGAAATAAGGAGAACAAGCGGAAGGTAGCACTTGTATCATGGGAGAAGATTTGTGTGCCAAAGAAGAATGGTGGACTGAACATCAAGAGCTGCAAATTATGGAATATTGCATCAGTTGGTAAGTTGATGTGGCAGATTGCTAGCAAGGCAGATACACTATGGATAAGATGGGTGCATGGACTAAATATGAAAGACGAGCAAGATTTTTGGACACATACACCCTCTAAGGATAGCAGCTGGTATTGGAGGAGGCTTAACTCCATTAAACTAACCATGGGAATGTGGTATACTAATGGAACCTACTGTCTATTGACCAATGGAGCATATAATGTGAGTTGTAGTTACAACCAATTACTGGGTAGGCAGTTGAAACTACCTGTAGCAGACTTGATATGGAACTCACTCATGCTGCCTAGACACAGGTTTATTATATGGCTAGCAAATCAGGAAAAACAGCTAACGAAAGAGAGGATGATCAGACTGCAAATGCCAATAGAAGATGACAAGTGTTGCCTATGTGGAGAAAGCAAACTGGAGACTCAAGTACATTTATTTGCAGAATGTACCTGGACAACAAAAGTGAAGGAAGCACTGGAGACTTGGTCGGGTATTAAAATACAAAAAACGGAAGTGACAGAATGCCTAAAATGGATAAAAGGAAGACACTGGAAGCAATATAAGAAGGAAATAGCTACAGCTATATGGGGAGCCAGAATCTACCACACTTGGAGAGCAAGTAATTGGAAACTATTCAGAGGGACAATAGTAAATACAGAGATTACAATCACACAGACAAAGAAAGGGATAGTGGAAAGAGTGGATTACCTGAAGGATAGTAGGAAAGCAAGTAAATGTAGATATTTGGTTCAGAAATTTTGTAACTAGATTTGTCTTTGTTTGAGGCTTTAGAGGAAAGGGTACCCTTCCTGGAAGGTGGCTCCTCTACCTAGAGTGCTCTATAGGTGTAAATATTTGGCTGTCAATGGTAATTCTTCACGGTTTACCAAAAAAAAACATTTTTGTTCTCCAAAAGAGCAGAAAAGGAGCAACGGCATCAGGACCTCAACTGAAATTGTCATACACAACCTGAACCACAGAACAACCCAAGCTAGTCGCGACGCCATGAATTTGGTTAAGGATATTCAAGCTTTGAAGCTCGAAATTCAAAAGAATTCAACGAATTGGAACAAACCGATAACATCAAATCACACTACGTAGTAATATATAGCTAACTCATAAACACACTTGATAGAACAAAAAATCTATAAATCAAAACTAACATAAGGAAGACAGCGCAAGGAATTCTACTAATAAAAGCATAATCAAATATAATATGACAATGTCTCTTATAATAGGCTCATTAGAAATAAGAAAACCTCTTCTCTTTCAGGCACTCTGTGAAGCCTTTCATTGTAGGAGAAACTACTTGCTTCGACTAAAACAAAACACTTCAAAACTTAAGAAACAGTTTGATCTTTAGAAAAATGATTTTCAAATCCAAAAAACACAGGTCTGTCTTTCTTCTCAACGATCCAAGTCTTGGTAGATAAAGTTACCTAATACATGTTGCTGGTGGGAAGCGGCACATATCCAGTACAATTAGTTGAGTTGTGCGTAAGCTGGCCCAAACACCAGATCGTAAAAAAAAAATAGAATTCATTTTTTATTCTAGTTGCAAATTCCATCTCTACCAAACAACAATTACATACAGATCAAATCACAAGCTCTCTGTACATGAATAATATAAGCATGAGATTTTTGTATTCTAGTGGAAAATTCCATCTCTACCAGACGATCAAAAACCCATTCATTTCTTAATTTAGGGTTTCATGAAGAATTTCAGTTTCCGCTAAACGGTGATAAATAATAGCTCAAATTTTAGTTTGATTTGGTTTATTTGTTCTTCTATATGAAATAAAAGAGAAGAGAACCGATCAAACCTCAGCGAAGACTGCCGGCGGCGACGGCGGAGAGCGAACCGGAGTGAAATGCTTTTACTATTTAATGTATTTTCGTACTAACATATTTGATTAAAGATTTTAAATGCATGATTTGTGGTATTCTTTACCCTTGTGAAAAATTACCTAATTACTTCATTGAATTGTGGACCTTTTTTGTTTAGTGTTTTTATGTTATGTTTTCCTTTCATTTCACAACATGTTATTAGTATGAGTCTTTAATCAATTGAAATCTGCTTAATTCGAAATTATCTGTTATCTTAAAAGTTAATCAACTCTCCTTTTGATTTAGGTATATATTTATATGTTTATAACATCTCTAATAGAATTTTCGTAAGTCTTCCATCTACAATTTGATTACAGTATGCATGACTTGCTTTAAGAATTGTTATGATACTTTATTGGGTAAGGCAATTGAAATGTTTCATGTTTAAATTATTATGCTATTTATATGCCATTAACTTATAACTCTAAATTATGCAATATGATAGCATGCTAGTTCGAATACTCGAAAATATTTTCTTATCATACATTTATGATTAGTATTTGTGTGACATAAAGAAGAAGAATATTGCATTAAATATGATTTGAAATTCTTACGGAACTTTTGTGTTAATATCTATTGAAATTAATAATAAATTTTGTAGAACAATTAGAAAGTATATTAAATTTACCGTTTCAATACTTCATGAGTTTACATATTTTTGCTTGTTCATACATATAATATATTGTATATTCGTATTATACTTTATTATTTGAAACACTAATTTACCATTTATTATAAAGAAATCAACATCGTGATATTAACTCAATTATTTTATGATAGTTTTCATCATATTGAATTTGTCAAAGCTTGAATTTGTGGTACTTGACATTTAAAAAAATATATTTATCATATGGGTACTTGATGTTGAAATTCACCTTACCGCTAAGGTTCTTGGTGATACTATAATCGAAAAAATAAAACATCAAGTCAAGATAAAGTGAAGTCTATGATTTTCCTTCATCATCAATCATTATCTTGATGGAAGTCTGAAGGTTGAATACTTGACAATGAAAAATCCACTTGGATTGTGGATATGTTTGAAAGGAAGGTACGACCACCTTAAGGTAACAATATTGTCAAGGGCTCATTATGAGTGGTTGCACTTACGGTTTCAAAATTTTAAAATCGTAATTAAGTATAATTATGTTGTGTTTAGAATCACTTCACAATTGAAATTATGTGAGAAACTATAAAAGACGATGACATGTTGGAAAAGACATTAACTATTTTTCATGCCTCAAATGTGTTATTACAAAAGTTATACCGTGAAAATGGTTTTCAGAAATACTTTGAATGGATCTGATGTCTTTTGGTGGTTGAGGAACATAATATTTTTTTAATGAGAATCACGAATTTCGTCCCACTAGAACTGCTCCATTACTAGAATTAAATGTGGTAAAAGCACACAGCCAGTTTAAAATAAGACAAAATAATCAGAGACATGATAATGTGTGTGGGTGTGACGAGGGTAAAATACTATATAATAATCGTCGAGGTGGTGTTCATTATAAAGAGGAGAACAATATGGGTTCTCAAAATAATCCTTGAAGAGGCAAATGCATTGCCATTGTTGTGGCCTGAAAGGTCATTGAAAAAATGAATGTCGGGCACCTGAGCATTATATCAGGTTGTATCAAAATTCCTATAAAAGGAAAGAAAATAAAGGTGATGTCTTTTCTGCCCCTGTAGATGTGACTCTTAAAGGTGATGTTCATGTAGGGCTTTCTCATGAGTATGTCGAGGCAAATTTGAAATTGAAAGATAATGTTTTTGATGGCCTCGATGATATTGCTAATCTAAAAGCTAAGGACTTCTTTGAGGATCGAAATTGAAGATTGATGTAACACCTCGGAAATTGGATATTCAAATTGGAAAGGAAAGATTTCATTTTTTACTATTGCCTCAGTTCTACGAGACTCATCTATGGTTCGTAGAAGACTCTAAGGGTCGTAGATGGCACTCGTAGAAGTTGAGTTGAGTTTTGAGAAAATTCAAGTTTTTGAAGTTGGGTCTACGATTGTTTAGTACGACTTGTAAGATGGTCTACGGATCGTAGGAATTGACCATAAAGTTGATTCAGACTTAGTGAAATATTGGACTCAAAGTTGAGAACTACAGATGGGGTTTATGGACGGTAGAAAGATCGAAGATATGTTAAAAGGGTTTTGTGGAAAGTGGGTTAAATATTGGGTTCCAATACTTGATTCTACAGTTGACTAATAGGGTCCGTAGGTCTCAAACTATAGACCTGTTCCAACAATTTTAATTAAGAGTGTTCTGGTTTTTTTTACCTACCTAACCACTAAATTATATTGTTTTGACCCTATAACTAGATTTAAACCGAATTAACCCTTCAAATTAAACTCATTCTCTCACATTCACTCAAATCCCCAAATTCCCTCCAAGTTCATCCCCTTCAATTCTCTCTTAAGCTCCAAGGTGAAAGCTAGGGTTTCAAGCTTCACGGTCTTATCTTTCTCTGTCTTTGAAAGGATTTGATGCCAAGGTATGTGAGAATTCACCAATGGATCCTTTTCATCCATTAGATTCCAAAAGAACTCCAATCTCTAATGTAATTTCACCCAATTGAGTTAGAGTTTTATGTCAATCTTCATGGTCCTTTTGATTATGATTCAATTGATGTTATTCTTTCTGCATGATTTAACCTAATTACATTATTTATAATTGATTTCATATAGACTCATGCTTTATATTTTGATTTTCACCTATGAACTATGAACTATGAACTATGATCATGAATTGATAAGAGATTTTATGTATATTTAATAAAAGAATGAAGTTATGATTTAAGGATGCTTTTAAGTTAAGTATCAATGATTTGTGAAATATTTTCTCACAATTTGAAAGAAAATCATGATTTTAGAAGCTTAGGAAGGTAAGTGTCTATATGAACTACTTTAAGAAGTCATGGTTTCAAAAGGAGCTACTCTTATACGACCTTATAATTTGGATTAGTATTTTAATTATTGCCCTTCCTAATGTTATGCTTTGATAATTTAATTAATCTATTTCATTGGTATTATACTTAGCTCCGGGAGAACTTTGAGATGGAGGCTCAAATAGGATAATCTCTAGTAGAAATCTGTAGTTCCAAACTTATGTGCCCCTATATGATTGTCTTAACTGACTTAGCTAGTAAATCTACATAGCTTTAATGATATGATATGGAGTTCTACCTTGGCAAGTAGACTCTTCATTTTTGGTGTGAGATTTACATCGAATTTCATATTATAGTTCACGTGGTCTATTATCGGTTTAAGCTAATATTCCACAAAAAGAACTATGATTTTTCCTCAAAGCTTTCATTATGTCCTTTCATTTATGCTTGACCTTGTTTCATGTTTCTAGTGACTTTGCTTTCTAAGCTTTTAAATGTTTTACTTGATCATGCATTACATGTTTTAAGCATACTATGATATCATGTCTACGTTTATGCATATTTCCTCATATTTAGTACATTTCATGTACCAATGCATATGTCACGACTCGAGTCTACATCCTGGACGTGGCCGGCACTCGAGAAACATTGTTGGTCCCAAAGTGAATCATCATCCTGTCTGACTACAAGTGAAAGACTAGCTCGAGCATACATAAACATTAAATTGAAAGAAATGTTTACTGAATCTCAAACTGAATTGAATATACTGAGTATGAAACATGAGTTTTAAATAAAACATCTGAAAATTGAAAGACCCTCCAAAACTGTCTATCTATGAAGCCTCTATTGTATATAGACGAGTGTTGGGACAAGATCCGCGACTACTCAAAACAATTAATTAGAAAATAAATGTGAAGTCCCCGGAATGCAAGGAATCTCACCCAAGTTATTTAAAGTGCAAAGTGATCTCAACGAAATTCATGTTGATGATCCTAAGAATATGTATGTGCATCATTAAAAGATGCAGGTCAAATGACTACAATACACTGAATGTACGAGTATGTAATATAGCTAAATAACGAATAACTGAATAAAAAGACTGCAATAGATATAAATATATACTCAACCGAATATAAAGAAATAAAGGAGTGAAATCATTAAAAAATTACAAAATACTTACTCATCTATGAACTCAACATGTTAAGTGACATAATAAAAATATACTTTTAACTCTATTTGGGAGATTCTCTAACCGACATCATCTCGCCCACGCAGCTAGAATTGTCCTATATCGTGTCGGGATATAGGACACCTCAACTAAGTGGATCCACTAAGCAATAATTATTCATCTAAAAAGTATGATCATGTACCCATGTTGGCAAGACATGGTTTATGACGATTTTGAGTTGTCTGAACTCATCCCCATATCAGTGCTCAATACTACTCTTAGTAATATATATATATATATATATATATATATATATATATATATATATTCATCTAAAAAGTATGATCATGTACCCATGTTGGCAAGACATGGTTTATTTTGAGTTGTCTGAACTCATCCCCATATCAGTGCTCAATACTACTCCTAGTAATATATATATATATATATATATATATATATATATATATAAATCAAATGTATAGAACATACTCTTTCTCTAGTGTTTGAGATATTGCTCAAACTATCCTTTTAAAAGAGGTAACTACTCTGAAATATCTCTGAACTCATTACTCATTTATAAAACAAGGTTTCTCTTTGCTATGTAAAAATACTTTCTCTCGATTGAGATAATAAATCAAAAGGGCATCTTTAAGAGGTAACGACTCTATACTCAATCTTTCAAAAAACTCTTTTACTTTTCTCAAAATAATATTCTCTTTCTTCATGTAAAAATGAAACATTTGAGAAATACTTAGTTCCCTTATACTCTTGCTAAACTCTTGGTTACAATCTTCCTCAAACTTCTTTTTACTTTCTCAAAAACTCAGTTTAAAACAAAAATTTGGCTTTAAGAATTTCTCAAAATTTATAACTCAAGATAGGGTTCAAGCTGAAACATAAATATGAACGAATTAACTCATGGATCTCAATAACAATATAGAAAACTCAATACTCAGAACTCAAGAACTTAGAACTCAACGATACTACTCATCTCAAGAATACTCAATTCATAGGGTTCATGCTGAAATATAGACATGAACAAATCAACCCAAGAAATCATAATGCATAACATATAGCAATTCAATAATTAGGAATAGAATTTCAAAAACCTTGGACATATTCATTAAAGGATATAGCCCATCATATTTATTATCAATAAGTTCTTTATTGCAAAAGAATATTAAAATACAAAGAGAGACAAATTACCCTCCAAAATAAAAGCAAGAAGCTAAATTTATCTCAATCAAATATTGAAATAAATTGTAGAAAGGTTGCTTCTTTAATGAAGACGTTTGGACTTTTAAAGGTTAATCGAATTAAATGAAAATCCAAAGGAAAAAAATTAAAAGTTACAACTTACAATGCAATGTTATTGAGAAATTTGTCAAATAAAAAAAGGTTAGGAGTTAAGTAGCACTAAGTAGCATTATTTATTCGGTTTATCGATTTTTAATTTTGAAATACGCTAAACCAATAACAAATCAATAAGATATTTTTTATTGATTTTTGTTTATTAATTTTTGGTCGTTAGCAATTTAGTTTCCGATTCACCTAATAAAAAAATGCTTATAAAAGGAATAGAGGACATACTTTGGTGAATTGAAAGTTTAAAATGTATCCAAATTCTCCAACGCATCATCAAGCAAGTCAAAATATAAATGAAATACTTGTTGGGAGCTGTGACAGCAATGGGATGAGCACTAGGAGACTGAGTGGATGAGACAGTGAGAGTGACTCCATTACCCGCTATCCCACTCAGGAAGGCTAATAGTTGATAAACAACCTTAGTAGTCATAGGTAGAAGGCCTGCATCCTCAGCTTGTGCAACTATCTCAAGTTCAACACCCTCTTTGAACTCTACCTCCACAGGAACATGGGGTAGGGGAGGGGCTGTTGGCCTTGGTCCAGCCGATGCCTGAGCTTCACCTTAGATGGGTGTTGCTTCCCCCTACCCCTACCCTACCCCTTCCTCTAACTCTACCTCTTCTTTTCCTTTGCACTACCGATTCTGCAATTGGAGCTGGTACTCACTCTTTGTTTCTTATAGATGAGTCATCTGCGAACAAAGAATGGAGGAAGTGAGATACCAATTTGGATCGTCAGATACCAACTAAAATTATGTTATAGCACAAAGGAATGAAAGAAGGGAGATTTCCTAAAGTATTTTAACGTCCTGAAGAAAAGTACAGATGTCTCGGTACCATTCCTCATAACTCTACTAGACCTATTTTGATACGATGAGATCAATGAATCTAGGGCTCTGATATCAATATTTTCATGACCCAACCCATCGTGAGAGACACCCACGCTAACCCTTAGTGGAAGAATCAACAAATTATTAACACACAGTCTATCAAATAATCAAAAGCAAAATAATTTTCAATATTTTTTTAAAAAAACTTTCATAAAACAAAACTAAGTCATAAAACTATTGTAGAATATCCTTTAGAATCTAAAAGTCGCGTACCATAACACATAAGTAGTCTAGAAAAGTAGGGATGCAACCCCGAAACAATCATAGTCTAAGTGTTAAAAATTGACTAGCGAGAGAAAGGAATAACCCATAGAAATCCGAGAGAAGAAGCTCACCCTTGGGTTCAGGAAACATTAGTATCATAGTTGAGGGCGCAAAGCAGCCGCTGAAATATGCCCTGTACTCAACAAAAAAAATAGCAAGTACATGAACAATACATAAATCTACATTGTTCAGGTCAGATCATCAGCTAATTCCATTTATACGAAATATGAACAGGCACCACAATTTA